ATGTTCAAGAGGAGGAGGTGGGAGTGAAAAGAAATTGTAAGTAGGCATGGGTGCGTACTGATGAAGAGTCCCGAACTAAGACGAAACAGTTGTCCAGCACTCCCAGGTTTTCCAATGGTTCTCCAACTGATGTCCGGTCATGATGAAATCCTACATGCAATCAAGCAAAATCCCTACAAAACCAATACTTGTAAAATTGTGGTGAGAGCTGGCTGCTAGCCAAAGTTAGTAGACAGTAATTCACGTCAATGTTTATGTCCCCAATATTGGTGGTGAGAAAATGAGAACAGAGGCTTTGCGTAGGCGGATACAGTTAGCATATGGATGATCTGACACAGCCATAAAGAGATGCAAGGTTAACTTTCGGTGAGAAACAACCAGTCAAAGGACTGTATTTTCTACTAACAATAATCTACAATAATGTACATTAAAATCTATAAATATGTGATGATTTTCCTTAATAAACGATCTGTTGCCTGGCCCTTGTCTTCTGTTGTTACAAAATTATTAGGCAAGAGAAAAATTAAGTAGGATTGGAGAATTAATAATGGGTTCAGACCAGTAGGTTCAAATGAAAACAAAAAATATTGTGACGCAACCAATCACAGAAATAAAACCGGGAGGTTTAGTTACCAGGTTGGTGAGAGATTAATCATACTATCCTTCTGTATATAGAGATAAGGTTGAAATTGTTTGATAAGTGAGGCAGCTATGGTTTCATCTGTACATTGATTACTTTGAAGGCTTGACTGATTTCAACTGTATGTCTGGTGTCAATCAGGAGCTTAGCAATTGCACTTGCAAATACATCCTTGCTGAAACGTTATCTCTATACAGCCAAATTATCTTCAATGCACCATTTCCACAGATCTTCCGTGTTGTACTACTTCTGGCCTTCATATTGTGTTTCTTTTACCTCTCCCATGTATCTCCACAACGGTGTATCATTTGCTTTCTCTGACGCCAAATGTGCCTTCCTGCTATTTGATGTTTTTATGCCGATGGATATCTCTTTATATACTACTGGTAAATCTTATCAGTTGCAAACGCCACATTAATTTTTATACGAAGACTGTTGGGGTTATGGTAACAAAACATAAGAAAAGTCTCCTATTTAGAGGAGATATGATATTCAAGCATTGTGAAACTCTTTCCGGTAAAGCATTCTGTTCAACAAATCATTTAGTTTATTAACATCGAGTAAGCTGCTCATAATCGATAGTGAGACTGTCTGAGATAGCCATGGGTTAGCAACGATGACTGAAAATGAAGTGGAAACCTGAGTAGTGACTGGAGTCGAACTAGAAGCCTTCACATTATGAGTAAGCATCTTCACCAGATGAACTACAGGGAACCTGGTTTGAATTCTATCGCTACACAGATTTTCATTTCACCTTTATTCATTACACATTATGTACATAATCAGATTATGGAGTTATTTGAAGCGGCTTGGATTAATTTCAATGGAGATGTCATCACGAGCCAATACAAACTAGAGAATCACTGAAAACTTCTGTTAGTACATACAGAAATCTATATTGAAATTAATCAAAATCCTCACAAAACCCATAATCTGAATATCAGCCCCCAGTTCATTAGTGGTTACTGGATTTATGTCCTAAATCACTGGGAGAGGGCGCCATGTCAAGGGGAAAGTGGACTGCTCATCGATGACGATTACGCCAAATCGTAAAATGACAGAAGTTAGAATTCAAGGTTTATTAAATTATGACCTAGTGACTGAATAGTCAACTGACTGTCGTTTTATAGGGTGGTTGTAGCTTGGATCTCTGGTTTGGCCATGGGTGCATACTGATGAAGAGTCCCAAACTGGGATGAAATAGCTATCCAGCTTTTCATGGTTTCCGCTGGTTCATTAGGTGATTCTACTTCATGAGGAAATATACCCACTTTAGAACAATCCTATTCACAGAATATCCTCAGTCTTAGAAACACTGAAAGCAGGGAAGCATTGAGCAGCTAGCTGTTTCATCTCCACTTTAAACTCCCCAACTATGTGCAACGATTATCCAATAAGGCATGTAATCTCTAACTCGGTCTTCTATCCATCTATTGGTCTGCAATCCACTGATATATGTCTTACAGACTCTGTTACTTCATGTATGTTATACACTTATATCACTATTTATTGTCATTGGGTCCTGTCTTCACATCGGAAACGGCTGATTCCATTGATCATAGAAGTCCCAGTTCTCTTGCTAATTTCGATCTGGGATGAAATCTATTTCTAAAGATATCTATCACTTTCAGTGTATTTAAAGCAGTAGTCAAGCATTTAATATGTTTGACTGAGTATTCAACATTTTTAAGGTCCTCTCGAAACGTCAGTATACTTCAGAAGAATATCAGCAAAAGTGTAGGATATGTGGAATATCAGTTTGTGTTACTAAATATCAGTCTGGAACAAAATGTTCACTAATCTGTTCGTAAATGAAAAAAAATACTGAGATGTGAACGAGGCAGTCTATCTAGTTGACAGCGCTTCTGAGGGAAGAGATGAGCACAATCTTGAAGACACTATTCTAATAGAAGATAACATTAAGAACAGTTCCAGAGCAACTATTGGTCGATAGGTGAGCCTACCACTTGAAAAACATTTCATGTCTTACTTTTCCAGTTGCTTAAACGTCAGGCATGTAGACAGCAGAAACCATGATTGACGTATGTGCTGAAAGGTTAGTTCTCTTGTAGACGTACACTAAATCGTGTTTCTATGACCTTATAATAACCGTTAATTTGAGTAAAGCAAGAACAACAATGGTTTGTGCAGAATAATATTATACCATCATTTATTTCGTTAAATTCTCATCAGCTGCTTACAGCCTGCAAATTTCAAATGATGTCAGTCGACAGGAGGTTCTGTAACGCCTTTGCCGTTGTATGCATACATTTACTTTGTTTAAACTTCAACTGTCTATGTAAAAACGTATATAAAGCGTAATTTTATGAGCACTCTTCACTAATTCCGGAACTTGCTGTCAACTGATATCATGTAAAATTTGCAAGTATGTTAAAATGTTTCTGTACATAGACTTAATAATTTACTTGGACTGTAAGCAGCTGATGAGAAGCCAACAAAATAAATGATGGTATCATATTATTCTGCACAAACCACTGTTCTTCTTGCTTTATTCAAAATAACCATTAATTTAAAAGAAAGACAAAGGTTACGGACTGTTCATACAAAGATGATGCAATATGGCAGACTGTCTCTTTCATACTTCTTTAGATTTCTCCCATCAGTCACCATCAACGGAAGAAATCTAAATCAAGTCACGTGTTCCACTTATCTAGACAACATCTTCCCAACTACAGACGGCACAGATGAGGATGTCAAAGTCAGGAGGAGATACACCTTCAGTATTCTGAAATCAGTGTAGAAATCTACTGTACTCAGCAAAAGGAAAAAACCCGAATTCTCTTCAACACTAGTGTCAAGTCATTGATTTCATATAGTTCAGAGACCTGGCGCGTGCACCATGAAAAGTATTTCAAATAGGCTCCGGACTTTTACCCACAACTACTTTTGCTCCATACCGAAGATCAGAAGATTGGCCGGAGAGAGAGAGTGTAAGCAATAAGGAACTCCGGCAACGAACTAGCCAAGAACCTATCGCCTAACAAACATTTATTTATTTTATTTTTGATTTACAGCTTGATTCCACACCGCATTTTCAGTACAAGTATGGAACTTTCAGCATGGATATCGGTAGCCCAAATTTAGCAGGCCGACCATAGATATCGGGTGTGCGCCGGCAGGTGATCGAACCCCGGACCATGTGCATGGTCGGCGAGAGTTCTAACCACTGTGCCACCGACGCACATGTAGAAATGAATGGAGATGGACCGGACATACACTAAGAAGACGGTTGAGTGAAATGATGGGCGCGCACATCACTCGAGTGGAACCAGATAGGAAAACGACGGATTTAATGTCCGAGCCAGAGTGTGACATGAAGATCGCGTGAGTTGAAAATGAGAGTCTTTAAGAAACCGTTCAGACAACTAAAGAGGACTGCAGAGAAAAGAGTAAAATGGAGATGTACTACTGAATTCCTCTGTTCGAATTGGAACCAAAGCGAACAATAAAATATAATAGTCATGCACAATCCTAGACACAAGTTGGTTTTATTTAAGAGTCTGGAAAATATGATTCTAACTTCTAGACGGTTTCTACTTCCTTCAAAATATCCTCTTTAAGGGGCATAATTCGTGAGTATAAGAATCAGAGCAATAATGGCTTAAATTAGAAGACCTTGCTTGTACAAACAAACTAAATTGTACATAAATGCCAAGTTTTATATCACTCAATAAAACTTGAATGTTCACTCTACTTAGATCAAGATCATACTGAAGAATTATGATCATTTATTTATTATCTGTGTCGTTCCGTCAAAGATCAGTACTATTGATCTTTGCTATTTCACCCTGATGGGACAACAGTTAGGCAGCTACGTTGATTTACACTCCACGCAACAGATATGTGGCTAATTAGTTTAAGTAGTTGACCATCCGTGAATAGTTAGACAGTTTAACTTGTTGATATTGTTGTTAGAATCATAAATGTGTAACTCAGTCAAGTTTACGGACAAACGTATAACTTATCGCTGAAACCCTCAATATTCAGATGAACAATGTCAATAATCTTTCCACTTATAAATCGTCATTATTTAAGGTTTTGTGGCACTGTGATGACACCTATTTTAAAATACTGTGACAAATTCAGAAACTATTCATAGAACAGTTTATTGTTTTTTGAAAACTATCCTATGCTTAATGTAGCTTAACTCGGTGGATTCAACATCAGCTCGTCGTGTCATAATAGGACTGTTATTGAGGCATAATTCATACGATTAGATTTATTCGTCACTTTTGATTGGTTGATTCATTCGTTTACGTGTTTTCTTATTGGATATCCTGTTGCTTTCAAATGATTGGTTGATAATTAAAGCTTACTACACTCAAAATGAATTGAAAAAGTTACTTTCACATTTGTACACGAACACAGTACACGAGTATTAGATGTAGCTTTGTGTTATCGACTCAAGTTCTTTTTCCACTTTCATAGAAGGTTTTCGTCAAACCGTATTGTGGACTTTTCGTTCATATCCTCATTTTTGTTAGACCAAATAAAATGGTCGCTCAGGAATTTATTGATTTATTCAATACAATATCATTAGCCCAGCGTTTTACAGTTGAAGATTTTGCTGATCGACTAAATTTATTTACTGTCATCCTACTGTTGATCACCTGTATTGTTGTATCAACAAAACAATATTTATTAAATTCTATATCATGTTATATCCCTGTGAAACCAGCTGGAGAGAATTTCAATGAGTATCTCGCTGATTACTGTTGGGTACACGGGACAATACCATTGGGTGAGGATGAAAAAATGCCAACTACAGATGCACAATGGGAAGAGTATGATTCAACTAGAAGGATAAGTGAGTAAATTTGTTGTTTGACTGTCTAATCTGTGCATATGTAATGTATCTTACCAACATTTATTTTACGCGTGCATAATGTTTGACTAGCTATCAATGGAGAATGAATGCTCATCACCAGGAAATCACTGTGGACATGAGTGGTCATTTCGACTGAGGGCACAGTCTGGTCATACATCAGTACGGTGTTGTTCTTGCGGAGATAGATGTTACAAATTAGTAGGCATGAAGGTTTATTCGACCCAGATTTCATGTTTATCGGCTTTTGTAAGATGTTGAACGAATCAGATGTACTATGTCGCATACCACTGATGTTTTTCGCTTTTTAACTGATTGAAAATGCCCATTAAAATTTTCAAAAGAATGGACACGGAACAAAGAGTACTCTTTTCGATAAATTCATCATCAGGTTCTACAATTATATATACATTATTATGAATGAATTAGTCTTATGAACGACATTAATGTTTAAATAACATCAAATCAATAATATTGATAAATTACAGCTGAACAGCATCAACATAAAATAAACTGAATGTCATAAGAATTAGGAAAAGTAATAGTGCAAATTCATGAGTTTATAGTCTCTACTGAGGGCCAGAGCAGTAGTAGGGGCTGGACTTGTTTCTTTTGGACACAGAGCACTTGTTGTTTGAGGCGAATTTCAATAGCCTCTGCTGTTTGGAGTATGCGGTACTTCGACGATTTTGGTAGTTTGTTAGGCACCCGGTATATTATGGAGAAGGATTCTACGCTGGCTTTGTGACCGGTTTGCACCAGAATGTATATAATTATAATGTATATATAATTGTAGAACCTGATGATGAATTTATCGAAAAGAGTACTCTTTGTTCCGTGTCCATTCTTTTCGCTTTTTACAAAATTGCTTTATATTATCGTAAGATATTGTAGCTAATTCGACTGGATTTTTCAATCCTTCTGCATTTCGAGTGGAACATAGGGCTTCAGCTAGAGATTCAAAGTTTCAGTAGCAGTGGTTTTTTGTTTGCAGGGTGGGTTTACTAGCCCTGTATCCAACCTTCCATCTTTTCCGGGCTTACTGTCAGATGGGCAAGGCTTAGGGTGGCCTCAGACTGGAATCTAACCTGAACCACGTGCACTGTTGGCGAGTATTCTACCACTGAGCAATCACCGTTGCGTAAAACCATTAACCATTAGTCTGAACAATGTAGACAAAATTAATCTTCACAATTAATGTTCATTTATTTCACAAATTCATCTGATGAAATCTCCTCCAGAATGATTAAATATATTTTAAGGTGGAAAGTGCTAATATATGATGGAAAAAGTTTTCTTGCACTAATAAACGAAAAACGTATGAGGTCAACTAAAATATTTATGCAAATATGAGAAAGATTGAAATGCTTTGCAATGCATTTAGTACTGATAAAATCATCAAACCATGTGATGAATTAACCTTCACATGAAGAAATCAAAACCTTGAAAGTAGAAATAAGATTTTTCGAAGTAAATCTTGACTGTCCATTATTTCTGGATTAGCAGCAAAACAATCAATCGAAGTTTGGTTAAGCTTGATAATGTAGTTAGTCCCTTGGATAAATTTGACGTAGTGCGTCGGTGGCATAGTGGTTAGGACTCTCACCGACCATGCACATGGTCCGAAGTTCGATCCCCGTCCGACGCACTCCTTTACCTCGCTAAGCCAGAAATGATGTTGGTGAAGAGGAAAGGTTGGGCATGAGGCTAGCAACCCCATCCTGTAAAAATTAAACACTGCTACAGAAACTTCAAGCCACTAGCTTGAAGCCCTATATTTCACTGAGGAACATGAAGGAAAAAAATAAATTTGACGAACATAATAAGAACAGCTTCCGGTGGGAAAGGATGAATTCATGAGGTTTTCGTTGATTGCATAAAACTTCAATTATAGAATACATAAGTAATAAATGTGGCATACTTTAATTAAGTAGCCGCTTAATTTCTTGAAAGTGTAGAATAAGAAGTCAAAACCGAAGATGACGTGCTAATCATATAAGATTTTGACATGATAGATTATGATCAAGATGGAAACATTTTTACATTGTAAAGAAGGCAGTGTTCTGAAATATAACAGTGAATTCAGACACAAATGGTGATGGTAGTGGTTACGCAGTCATATGAAGAGTTTTCCAAACAAAATGAAGCAGGTGAGTGGTAACACATCAATACTCCCATAGGTTCCAAGTGGAATATAGGGCTTCGACAGCCTGTCTTCATTTCGCTTTGTTCTTTGCAGTCCTTTTTAACTGGTTCCACGATTTCCCATAGGCCCTCATCTTCTCCTCACATGATTTAATCCATGTCCTACTCACATGCCAAACTAGTCGGTTCCCCTTCTGGATCCTCACGATTAATGCCTTGGGGTGTGATGTCGCTGAAAAGTCTGCTCAACGTATGTAAAGTCCGTCTCCATTTCCTTCTGCAATGGGTCCTTGGTTGATTCGTCGCCAGAGCTCCTTGTTGCTTATCGCACCTGGCCAGCCTTCTGATCTTCAGTGTAAAAGGTAAAGAAGGCAGGTGTTGATATACGTCTGCAGTCTGCTAGAAATGATTTTGGTGACACGCCAAGTATCTGAATCATATGGAAGCACTAACTGAATCATAGTGTTGAAAATATGGATCTTGTTCTTTATCCTGATTGTAGCAGATTTCCACACTGATTTCAGATTAACGAAGATATTGATAAAATTAGTTGACTTTTTCAGTGGTTAGAGAGTTTGTGACCACTATGTGTAAAATTGATCCATAAAGGGAATTTCACCATTGAAAAACTGTTGTCATGTATATGCGATTTATAAAACTGTAAAACATAAAAATGTAACTTTGACATCTTAAAATTCACTTTAAGCGTTTTACTTATCGGACTTCAAGTTAGAAGACGTTAGAAATGCTTTAGCTTGTGAAAGTAAACCAGCTAATTGAAGTTTCTCTTTTGTATAGTACACCTTATTTTGTTTGTTTGTTCATTTCACGGGCTATTTATCCTCATAAAATACAAATGACTATTATTAGCTACTTAACAATCTAATCCTACTCGAAATAACGTGACTGATTAGTTAAGCTATGCGATGGAGTGCTTAAACCAACCAAATCATTTCAAGCATTGCTTTTTACTACATTCATGAAGCGGAGCTGCAAGGGTTAATGCAAATGTCTGGCGCTTACAACAAAACTAGTGGATATATAGTCTACCTAGAGGAGCTGGACAATCCTGATTCTGAATCTATAGTGTACATGATTGCCGGAATCCTAATGGATCGAATACCTCATGAACCTGTTTTGGTCACCGTCAATCATGGGAACGCAGCCCCACCGTCTAGTTGGTCAGGCCTCAAGTCAAAGGCTTTTGGGGAGGTCCCTGCTTCGGTCTAGGCCCCCACGAACTATCCCATCCCTCTTATGAACTATGAGACAATGATTTCATAAGAGTTGTATCTCTTAGTGCCAATAACCGTACCAAATTAATATATATATATATATATATAAAGTGCAATCAGCTAGAGGACCAGTGAAAACCAGGGAGAACTGTTGAAGCATCTTAAACTAGCACAAAACAGCTGTCCTGTACTCCCTAGTTTTTAATAATTTTCCAACTAAGATCAGTGCATAATATAAATTGAAATCAAAGCAATTTAATTAGATGAGTTATCCTGCTGCTTAACGTTATTTGCTTATGAACTGTGAATCTAATCTAATCCCGTGTGAAGTGTGTGCTCTTTGGAACGTGGCAACTCGAACTGCTGCACTTCGGTGCCAAGTTCTATGTTGAATGCAGCCAGCCGTGTGAAGTGGTATAATAAGGTGAGCAATATTGAGGTCAGGCGTCGAGTGCTAGGGAAGGAGGGGAAATCAATAGACGAGACTGTGAAATTACATCGACTGAGATAGTTAGGACATGTGCTACGTATGCCTAGTCATCGCCTTCCTCAACAATGGGCAATGTTAGCTGATATAGGGTCAGGCTGGAAAAGAGCTAGCGGCAGTCAAACCAAAACTTGACTTCACCAGTCAATGAAATCAACAACAGTTAGTTTAAGCCACGTAGGAAGATGTAGACTTCCTGACTGGTTGGGGTCCTCGGGACGGTAAAAACCAATGGTTGGAAAGAATTGGTGACATGGTTCAAAATCGTTCTCAATGGCTGGCGCAGATGCATCCACTCCTTGTGACTTATGATTTCCAATTAAACTGTTTTGTTCTCTGTTATTACTATTACTTTGTCTCACACCTCTGTTTACTGTCTATATTATGCATTTCTCCTACTTTTTTCTCTTGCTTTGTTGCTACATGGAGTTTGTCGACTTGAACTGCCGCACATATGTGCAAAGTTCTATGTCGAAAACAGAGAGAGAGGGAATCTAATTTGTACTGTTGGTTTCATTTTTATGTCTTCTCCTTTTACTATCCTATTGGTAAAATGCGACAACTTGAATCAGTGAAGGTTTACATCAGTAGCAGCATTCTATTTCTATATTTAATCTGAATTTTGTCGATCTAAACTCTATGAATTACAGTGAACATGACGGATATAGTGAGCATAAGGTCTGAATGAAATGTGTACCAGATATTAGCTTTAATTTTACTCTTGTTCTATTCTACTGGAACACTGGGGTATACTGATACTGTCATAGATTAGCGATATAATAGTAACTTCTTGAATATTTAGCACTACTGGGAGATAATATGCATTACAGAAAGTTATATAGGTAGCGAAAGGTAATTTAAAGTCTCGCGTAAACTTCACTGAGTCGAAAGTAGAGGTGCAAAACACTAATTAATCAATTTGTGTGCTAATTATAAGTTGTATATTAAACACTTCTAAGTTTTGTTTGAAGACAGCTGAACAGATTGAGTTATTATAAGCAATTCATCTGTGAGTAGAATTTAATTGGTCGTAGATGTAAAAACAGGCTGATTATCTGGTGCTTGGGTAATAATCCTAGTTTTCATTTTTACAGTAGGAGTATTTAATAATCTAA